CTATTCCCAATACAATATTATGTCGACGGTATAATGAATTTTATTCAGAAATGTTATAAAAAGGTGAAAGACTCGGTGAAAGATACAAGATATATGCTCGGAAAATTTCTAATTTTTTCTTGTTTACATTATGTTTATTTTATGATACTTTGTGATATTCCATAAAACGGAAAATAAGAAATATAATTATAAACAAAATATCCAGACTTTTCTAGAAATAAATGCGCTAGAAAAAGATATAAATATTATTAACACAGTAAATTTTCCATTATATTGAAATGCCATTTTTTTTGTTTTAAAACACTTTGTTATTGAAAAGGTAGGTTAATCCAACAAATTATATTAATACTAAAGAAAAAAAACAGGGATGTACGATCCACTGAGTAAAGATGTCGTTCTCTACACATGTTTTATTTTATATAAAAAGGGCAAGCACTCTCGACTGTGACAGGTTTCTTTCAAAAACATAATTCAAAATAAGGTAGGTGTGAGACATTATATGAAATTCTAGCCCTGCGAGAACTTTTTGTAGCATTTTCTTCCCCTTTTTTGACGGGGTTTTCCATTTTTTCAAGATTCATATTAAGTTTTTATCGTCGTTCACGTAAAGTATTATTTTCGTACCTCGGAGGGATATAAGAAGCTTGTTTTCGTCAAGTGAGTGTACTGAAAGTTGAAGCCTATTCCCAATACAATATTATGTCGACGGTATAATGAATTTTATTCAGAAATGATATAAAAGGTGAAAGACTCGGTGAAAGATACAAGATATATGCTCGGAAAATTTCTAATTTTTTCGTGTTTACATTATGTTTATTTTATGATACTTTGTGATATTCCATAAAACGGAAAATAACAAATATAATTATAAACAAAATATCCAGACTTTTTTAGAAATAAATGCGCTAGAAAAAGATATAAATATTATTAACACAGTAAATTTTCCATTATATTGAAATGCCATTTTTTTGTTTTAAAACATTTTGCTATTGAAAAGGTAGGTCAATCCAACAAATTATATTAATACTAAGGAAAAAAAACAGGGATGTAGGATCCACTGAGTAAAGATGTCGTTTTCTACACATGTTTCATTTTATATAAAAAGGACAAGCACTCTCGACAATGACAGGTTTCTTTCAAAAATATAATTCAAAAAAGGTAGGTGTGAGACATTATATCAAATTCTAGCCCTGGGAGAACTTTTTGTAGCATTTTCTTCCCATTTTTTGACGGGGTTTTCCATTTTTTTCAAGATTCATATTAAGTTTTTATCGTTTTTCATGTAGAGTATTATTTTCCTACCTCGGAGGGATATAAGAAGCTTGTTTTCGTCAAGTGAGTGTACTGAAAGTTGAAGCCTATTCCCAGTACAATATTATGTCGACGGTATAATGAATTTTATTCAGAAATGACATAAAAAGGTGAAAAATACAAGATATATGTTCGGAAAATATACTTTGTGATATTTTATAAAACTTGGAAAATAACAAATATAATTATAGACAAAATATCCAGACTTTTTTTTAGAAATAAATGCTCTAGAAAAAGATATAGATATTATTAAGACAGTACACTTTCCATTATATTAAAATGCTTTTTTTTGTTTTAAAACACTTTGCTATTGAAAAGGTAGGTCAAAATCCAATAAATTATATTAATACTAAAGAAAAAAAAAACAGGGATATAGGATCCACTGAGTAAAGATGTCGTTCTCTACACATGTTTCATTTTATATAAAAAGGACAAGCACTCTCGACTGTGACAGGTTTCTTTCAAAAACATAATTCAAAAAAAGTAGGTGTGAGACATTATATGAAATTCTAGCCCTGCGAGAACTTTTTGTAGCATTTTCTTCCCATTTTTGACGGTGTTTTCCATTTTTTTTCAAGATTCATATTAAGTTTTTATCGTCGTTCACGTAGAGTATTATTTTCGTACCTCGGAGGGATATAAAAAGCTTGTTTTCGTCAAGTGAGTGTACTGAAAGTTGAAGCCTATTCCCAATACAATATTATGTCGACGGTATAATGAATTTTATTCAGAAATGATATAAAAAGGTGAAAGACTCGGTGAAAGTTACGAGATATATGCTCGGAAAATTTCTAATTTTTTCTTGTTTACATTATGTTTATTTTATGATACTTTGTGATATTCCATAAAACGGAAAATAACAAATATAATTATAAACAAAATACCCAGACTTTTTTAGAAATAAATGCGCTAGAAAAAGATATAAATATTATTAATACAGTAAATTTTCCATTATATTGAAATGCCATTTTTTTTGTTTTAAAACATTTTGCTATTGAAAAGGTAGGTCAATCCAACAAATTATATTAATACTAAGGAAAAAAAAACAGGGGTGTAGGTTCCACTGAGTAAAGATGTCGTTTTCTACACATGTTTCATTTTATATAAAAAGGACAAGCACTCTCGACAGTGACAGGTTTCTTTCAAAAACATAATTCGAAAAAAGGTAGGTGTAGGACATTATATGAAATTCTAGCCCTGCGAGAACTTTTTGTAGCATTTTCTTCCCATTTTTTGACGGGTTTTTCCATTTTTTCAAGATTCATATTAAGTTTTTATCGTCGTTCACGTAAAGTATTATTTTCGTACCTCGGAGGGATATAAGAAGCTTGTTTTCATCAAGTGAGTGTACTGAAAGTTGAAGCCTATTCCCAATACAATATTATGTCGACGGTATAATGAATTTTATTCAGAAATGTTATAAAAAGGTGAAAGACTCGGTGAAAGATACAAGATATATGCTCGGAAAATTTCTAATTTTTTCGTATTTACATTATGTTTATTTTATGATACTTTGTGATATTCCACAAAACGGAAAATAACAAATATAATTATAAACAAAATACCCAGACTTTTTTAGAAATAAATGCGCTAGAAAAAGATATAAATATTATTAACACAGTAAATTTTCCATTATATTGAAACGCCATTTTTTTGTTTTAAAACATTTTGCTATTGAAAAGGTATGTCAATCCAACAAATTATATTAATACTAAGGAAAAAAAAAACAGGGATGTAGGATCCACTGAGTAAAGATGTCGTTTTCTACACATGTTTCATTTTATTTATTATAAGAAGCTTGTTTTCGTCAAGTGTACTGAAAGTTGAAGCCTATTCCCAATACAATATTATGACGACGGTATAATGAATTTTATTCAGAAATGTTATAAAAAGGTGAAAGACTCGGTGAAAGATACAAGATATATGCTCGGAAAATTTCTAATTTTTTCTTGTTTACATTATGTTTATTTTATGATACTTTGTGATATTCCATAAAACGGAAAATAACAAATATAATTATTAACAAAATATCCAGACTTTTTTAGAAATAAATGCGCTAGAAAAAGATATAAATATTATTAACACAGTAAATTTTCCATTATATTGAAATGCCATTTTTTTTTGTTTTAAAACATTTTGCTATTGAAAAGGTAGGTCAATCCAACAAATTATATTAATACTAAGGAAAAAAAAACAGGGATGTAGGATCCACTGAGTAAAGATGTCGTTTTCTACACATGTTTCATTTTATATAAAAAGGACAAGCACTCTCGACAGTGACAGGTTTCTTTCAAAAACATAATTCAAAAAAGGTAGGTGTAGGACATTATATGAAATTCTAGCCCTGCGAGAACTTTTTGTAGCATTTTCTTCCCCTTTATTGACGGGTTTTTCCATTTTTTCAAGATTCATATTAAGTTTTTATCGTCGTTCACGTAAAGTATTATTTTCGTACCTCGGAGGGATATAAGAAGCTTGTTTTCGTCAAGTGAGTGTACTGAAAGTCGAAGCCTATTCCGAATATAATATTATGTCGACGGTATAATGAATTTTATTCAGAAATGATATAAAAAGGTGAAAGATTATATGCTCGGAGAACTTGTAATTTTTTCTTATTTACATTATGTTAATTTTATGATACTTCGTGATATTCCATAAAAATGGAAAATAACAAATATAATTATAAACAAAATATCCAGATTTTTTAAATTTTTTTTAAGAAATGTGCTGAAAAATATATAATTTTTATTTATTTATTATATATCAGAAACCATCCAAATATAATTACTCATATCTTAGGATTATGTAAAGTGATCTGAAAGGAAGCCAAAAATGGAATAATATACAAGGTATTTCATTTAAAAAAAATCTTCCCGATCCACTCACACTTTTTTGAGCCACCCTCTAGAAGTTAAAATATTTTCCTGAAATACATCTTCGTATATACTTTAGGTTTGCACTTAAACAAAATTCTCAATTTTTTTTTCTAGAAGCTACAGATGCCCGACGCACTATTGCCGGACCCTGTATACCAATTCTCAACAGTACCAATATTATTTTGTCTTGTATTATTGTTATTGTATAACCTATTCTTACGTGTACTTTCCAATTAATGTCTTTTTCAATTCTCGTACAAATTAAGTATCTAATAAATGGGAGTTTTGAAAGAAATGGCTGCAACATCTCTATAGCTCACTGATTCCGAATCACCCAACTGTAAACTGAGAAGCTTATTACTTAATTTAAACTGAAGAGTAAAAACAACAAAAAAGCCCGTCGGAAAATAAAATAAACTCCGGGAAAATACAGAGCGCTTCACATTTTTGACGTTTTATATCAACTTAATTTTTCCACTTTTCTCGCATTGGAGTTAGAGAGAGGAAAATTCAGTTTTTCTGTCTTTTTCTCTGATGGCGGTCTTATTATATTTTAAAAATGTAACGTCAAATATAAATGGAACGTAATTTTAAAAGTGAAGAGCGGTAATATCTCTCTTTCGTTTAGCCTTTGCGTTTGGTGAGAAATCGTAGAAGCGTTTAAACAAAAAGAAATTATGAGATTTTTGCGAAGAGAATGATGTCTCTTTTAAAATATCGTGACGCTCGTATACGGGGAGCCAAAAGTTGATATAATGTTATCATTTACCATTTCAAATCGAAAGCCCTGTAATTTTTAATTATGTATCTTACCGTTGAGCACGTGCACGAATGCAGACGCTGGACTGGCATTTGATGGCATGCACGTGTAGTTCCCCGTGTCTGTTAGTAGGGCCTTGGTTACCAATAGCTTGCTGGTGGTACCTATTTCCGTTTTTTCTGTTTCCAAGCTGATACCACCTCGAGGTGAGTCAAAATCCACAATAGAATGACCATGATACCTAGAATACACAGAATATATTTTTATAACATATACAGGGTTGTTCACCACATACGACACGGAGTATTGTAACTAAACGATTAGTTTATTACAAATTGTAAGGTTTGGGTTCGTTGAAGGACTATTAGAGCTACAATTTAAAAATATTTTTACAAGATACAGAGTGTCCCAAATAAGTAAAAAATATCAAAGTTGTATTTTTTTAAATGGAACACCCTGTATATTATTTCATTTTTAGTTTCTACGATTAAAATAAAGGTAAATTTGATTAAGGTTTATTATACTTAAACCTTACCGTTTTTGAACTATTTTCAATTTTGTGAAATTGCAGTAAAGATTTTAAGGCTTTATTTCTCCAAGGGTATCAAAGTTTTTAATACTAAATATTTACTGAAGTTTATTTATTGATCAGTTATTTTGTTGCAATAATAAAAATAATACTACCTTATACAGAGTGCCTAAAAATTTATTTTAAATAATTATTAGCTTCAAACGGCAATAACTTGTTTAATTTAAACGGAACACCTTGTATATTTTATGAGAATCAGATGCACAATTTAATTGTCTATCAAATTATATTATACCATTTTTACCTATCTCTTTAAGTTTCCGTAGAAAATGCATTTTCTTGTAATTTAGAACTTATTTATCAATATACCCATGGACTATTGACATTTTAGATTATTTTTAAAGATGTACCAAATTTTTAAAGAGTACAGATACTAATATTGTCGATATAATTTCTTTATTTTATTAAAAATAAAAAAAAAATATTTAAATATTTGTTAAAGAGGACCAATTAATATGATTCCAGTATTCAAACTACATTAATTGACTGTTTGCGTTGACTAATAATAATTGCTCCAAATACTAAAATACTGAATTTTGTATGTGTATTAGACACTATGGTAAAAAGTAACACCTTAAAAATGATATTTCATTTTTTCACAAATGCTTATTCATAACAACAGAGACGTTCATTTTCATAACTTATTATAATCATTTCTGATTCAAATTCACATTTATTCAGAATAATTTATTAACGAACACAATTAAGTATGTAATTAATCAGTATTTGGGCGGAAATAATGGTGATATATTTAATTAATGGTACACTCTTTTATAAAGATTTAAATAGTTTTCTTCTTGCATACAAATGGGCTGGTAATATTATCGTTTTGCTAAAAACGATAATATTACTAGCCTGTACGTTTTGTACATAATATGTTGCTTTAAAAACAATCTAAAATGTTAATATTCCATGGGTATATTGATAAATGAGGTCTAAATTATAAGAAAATGCATTTTCTACGAAAACTTGAAGGGATAGGTAGGAAATGGTATAATACAATTTGATAGACAATTAAATTGTGCATCTGATTCTCCTAAAATATACAGGGCGTTCTATTTAAATTGGAAATTATTTAAAATATATTTTTAGACACTCTGTATGAGGTAGTATTATTTTTATTATTGCAACGTAATAACTGATCAATAAATAAGCTTCAGTAAATATTTAGTATTAAAAACTTTGATACTCTTGGAGAAATGAAGCCTTAAAATTTTTGTTGCAATTTCACAAAATTGAAAATATTTCAAAAACGGTCAGGTTTAAGTGTAATAAACCTTAATCAAATTTACCGTTATTTTAATCGTAGAAACTAAAAATGTAATAATATACAGGGTGTTCAATTTAAAAAAAATACAACTTTGATATTTTTTATTTATTTGGGACACTCTGTATCTGGTAAAAATATTTTTAAATTGTAGCTCTAATAGTCCTTCAACGAACCCAAAACTTACAATTTGTAAAAATCTAATCGTTTAGCTACAATACTCCGAGTCGTATGTGGTGAACAACCCTGTATAGTATTTTTAGGTACATTTTTTTTATCTTAATAATATTTCATCTATTCTAATAATTTTGAAGCTGATTTTAGAGAAATTATAGAGGCATTTAAAAAAAATATGATGTTGTTTGTTCAAAAAAAGGACCTTACACAAAGAAATAGATATTCTGGATAAAACTTTGTAACAAATTAAGTCTCAAATAACAAAAATTATCATCATTTGGACTCATTATCTCTTGAGACGTAACGCAGAATCTTATGTTATGATTGTGGTGAAAACAAAAGTTAAAGCTACAGTGTTTTGACGAACGTAACATAAACGTTGGTATTGTATTCCTATAATTCTGTATAAAACAATTTTTTAACATTACTTACCATAGTACTGATGATGGAGGTATTGAATGCACATTGACAGTACATGTTAAGGAAATAGTGCTTCCTTTCTTCACATAGATTTCTGTAGGACCGGTTATGCTAGCTTGGGCATCTGAAACCAAAACAAATAATTTTATTCTAATATTATATCAGAAGCCAGTTTTAATTTTTATGATGTGTGATTTCGGATTCATTATTCATGAGAAAAAATTGTATTCGGTTGAATTTTTTTTTCTATACAAAAAAATTAAAATAAATATGCAAACTTTGGCGCCACTCAAGATATGCAAATGAAACGTAAACAGAAAAATAGAGGGTTGCCCTTTACTTATTAAAAAAAAAATATTAGCGAAGATCCTTCATTCAATAGTTTTCGGTCACTTCCTGTTTCACCGGAATGACTACAGCTTGTGATTCTTAAATGACACCTTCGGTATTCTTTTACCTTATTCCATAGAAAATCTCTCTCTGAGAAGAATGGATATCATATGTCAACTTTTGACATCTTTGCATATGGTTTATAACGACAATTTGATTCAAAATACCAAGTGTGTGGTACTAATCGGTAAATTTTTAAATAAATAAATAAATGCCTTTATTGTCAAAAAATTTTTCAATTTGTAGACAAAGGTAAACTAACAAACAAAGTAAAAAAAAACAAGATACACAAACAAACAAACAAAAGATAATACAAAACATTATACCAATAATATTGTCAGTCTTATTGTTAAAATAAACATTTATAAATGTTTAAAATGTCAAAGAACAAAAAAAATTAAAATAATATTCAAAAATATTTAGCCAGTTTATAGCAAAATATCAATGACCTCTAAATAAATTAATTTCGATGTCATTAGTAAATATAGCAATAGCAAACATTAGACCAGTGTTTACAAGATCAAATTCGATTTTCAATTCAAATATAATTCATTTACGGCGTAGAAAGCCTTGTCTAGTAAATAAGAGTTCAATGCTTTGCGAAATGAAAAAAATGATGTTATGGATTTGATTTCAAATGGCAGGTGATTGTGCATTTTTTTCGAGTTGTATAATATTGAACTTTTAACTAACTCTGAGCGTGGGGTAGGTAGATAAAGATCTTGCTCCGCGTTCCTGAGTGGATAAGTGTGAGATGGCCTTTCTTGAGAAGCTGATACATGTTTACGTATTAGGCAAACTGTATAGTTATATTAATTATATTATACAGGGTGGTCCGAATAGTATTCCGGAAACTTCGGCAGCATATTCTGCAGATAAAAATAAGTAAAAAAGTTTGTATAAATATGTCCGAAAATGTTTATTTTCGGAGATACAGGGTGTAGAAGCTTCATTTTTATTTCGATTTTTTTTCGAAGTAACGTCAATATTTGGATGAAAATGAAGGGGAGTTTTTTGACATGAGAAATTTGATTTTCATGTCAATATGACTCCTATTTATAGGGATTTACTACCACGCCACTTACATGTGTTTTAACTGTTTTGAAAAGTAGTAACTTTTCGTCCGTACCTGTATAAAACTCCTGGGTGAAAAAATATACATTTCCGTGATTTTTTACGTAAAAAATATTTTTTGGTAAAAATCGCTACGAGCAACCGTTCTCAAGATATTTAGAATGGAAATAGTCAATACATGTCATTATTGAGAACAAATAAGTAGACTGAAGAGCGGTAATATTTGATTTGAAAATTGACTGAAATGATAAATTTGGGAACTTTTTATTTTTTTAAATTAATCATAAATTTTTCTTCGAAAAAATGAAGCTAAAATAGTTTCTGTTGAACTTTTGGTACAAAAACATTTCAGATTTATGATTTCAGTTTAATAATTATTATTTAGTCAACATGTTTAATTTATGTCAATGATGACAGGTATTGATAATTTCGATTTCAAATATCTCGAGAACCATTACTTTTAGTAATTTTTACCAAGAGACCTTTTTTACGTAAGAAACACCGTAAATATATATTTTCTTCCTCAGTAGTTTTATACACGTACGGACGAAAAGTTATTGCTCTTTAAACCAGTTAAAAATATGTAGGTGGCGTCCTCTACAAGTAGGAGCCATATTGACATCAAAATCAAACTTTCATGTCAAAAATCTCCCAGACTCCAATTTTCATCCAAATATTGACGTTATTTCAGAAATTATTTGGAAAAATTCGAAATAAAAATAATATTTCTACACCCTGTATCTCAGAAACAAGCATTTTAGGACATACATCTATACGAACATTTTTACTTATTTTTATATGCACAATATGCTCCCAAAGTTTTCGGAATACAGTTCGGACTAGCTTGTATATTCGTAAAATAATGTTTTTTTCAAATATGCTAATGAACTACCCACTTTTCATTTGAAATAAAATTGAGATATGATTAAAAATACGATTTGGACAAATTTTAACCGGCCAGGACAAGAGAGAAAAAACATTATACCATCAAATATATTTTTCCAAGGCACCTAGATTAAGAACTAGTGTTTACAACAGAGCCACAGCACTACAAATTGAAATTTGAAATACGATTTTTATTTTATCAAAAATGTCAAAAGTTGACATAATATGCTATGTCAGAGTGCAATTCATAGTGTCATTCTCTATCAAATAAAGTAAAAAAATACCGAGGTTACCACTTAAAAATCAAAAGTTGTAGTCATTTCCGGTGAAACAGGAAATGACCGAAAACAATTGAATATGTCAATCAATCTTAGTTTATATCATACACTAACATACCAAATCTCGTGTTTTATCTGAAAAAATAAAAAAAGTTATAGAGTTGAACCACTTTTGAGAAACATCTGGTATGTAGATTACATTTGGGGGTTACAATTACACCTTTGGTGTGACAGCAAATGTTGTAATGTAATCGTAATGTATGTTGTACTCTAACTCTTACTACTTTTTACATTTGTATAGCGCAATTTTTTATTTATCCTAATGACAGTTGAAACAAGACAAATTTTAAACTGATTTTTCTACATAAAGTGAATAAACAGGGTTGTTCACCACATACGACACGGAATATTGTAGCTAAATGATTAGATTTTTACAAATTGTAAGTTTTGGGTTCGTTGAAGGACTATTAGAACTACAATTTAAAAATATTTTTACAAGATACAGAGTGTCCCAAATAAATAAAAAATATCAAAGTTGTATTTTTTTAAATGGAACACCCTGTATATTATTGCATTTTTAGTTTCTACGATTAAAATAAAGGTGAATTTGATTAAGATTTATTATACTTAAACCTTACCGTTTTTGAAATATTTTCAATTTTGGGAAATTGCAGTAAAAATTTTAAGGCTTCATTTCTCCAAGGGTATCAAAGTTTTTAATACTAAATATATACTGAAGTTTAGTTATTGATCAGATATTGTGTTGCAATAATAAACAAAATATTACATTTTACAGAGTGTTTAAAAATATATGTTACATAATTACTAGCTTTAAACGGCAATAACTTGTTTAATTTAAATGGAACACCCTGTATATTTTATGAGAATCAGATGCACAATTTAATTGTCTATCAAATTGTATTATACCATTTTTTACCTATCTCTTCAAGCTTCCGTAGAAAATGCATTTTCTTGTAATTTGGAATTCATTTATCAATATACCCATGGAATATTGACATTTTAGATTATTTTTAAAGATGTACCAAATTTTTAAAGAGTACAGATACTAATATTGTCAATATTGTTCCTTTATTTCATTAAGAAAAAAAACCTGTTTAAATATTTGTTAAAGAGGATCAATTAATACGATTCCAGTATTCAAACTACATTAATTGACTGTTTGCGTTGATTAATAATAATTGCTCCAAATACTAAAAAACTGAATTATTTATGTGTATTAGATAGTGTGGTAAAAAAACTAATACCTTAAAAATGATATTTCATTTTTTGAAAAATGCTTATCTATAACAACAAAGACGTTCATTTTCATAACTTATTATTATATTGATTTCTGATTCAAATCCACATTTATTTAGAATAATTTATTAACGAACACAATTAAGTATGTAATTAATTAGTATTTGAACGGAAATACTGGTGGTATATTTAATTAATGGTATACTCTTTTATAAATATTTAGATAGTTTTCTTTTCGCATGCAAATGGGCTCATCGTTTTATTAAAAACGATCATATTACTAGCCTGTACATTTTGTACATTTGTTGTTTTAAAAACAATCTAAAATGTCAATATTCCATGGGTATATTGATAAATGGGGTCTAAATTATAAGAAAATGCATTTTCTACAAAAACTTGAAGGGATAGGTAAAAAATGGTTTAACACAATTTGATAGACAATTAAATTGTGCATCTGATTCTCATAAAATATACAGGGTATTCCGTTAAATTAAACAAGTTATTGCCGTTTAAAGCTAGTAATTATCTAAAATAAATTTTTAGACACTCTGTATAAGGTAGTATAATTTTTATCATTGCAACACAATAACTGATCAATAAATCAACTTCAGTAAATATTTAGTATTAAAAACTTTGATACCTTCGGAGAAATGAAACCTTAAAATTTATACTGCAATTTTACAAAATTAAAAATATTTCAAAAACGGTAAGGTTTAAGTGTAATAAACCTTAATCACATTTACCTTTATTTTAGTCGTAGAAACTAAAAATGCAATAATATACAAGGCGTTCCATTAAAAAAATACAACTTTGATATTTTTTATTTATTTGGACACTCTATACCTTGTAAAAATATTTTTAAATTGTAGCTCTAATAGTCTTTCAACGAACCCAAAACTTATAATTTGTAAAAATCTAATCGTTTAGCTATAATACTCCGTGTCGTATGTGGTGAACAACCCTGAATAAAATGCGAATTTTTTGACCCGGTACTGTAAAAAACAAATCAAAATTGTTTATAAATTTATAGCCATTTTCTCTGATCTAGTCTCTGTAAGAGCCAACATGTCCCTTTTTTTGGACCTCCATATTAACAAATAAATAATCTTTAGCCTTATGGCCTTAAACTTTCTGCGACCAATAGAAATGGGGGCTTTTGGCTTCGATGACCATACGACAGGCTATAAATTTTTATTTGACCCCTTTTTTCCTTATATAAACGAATAAAAAACTAGGACGA